TACTGGGGGTTTCAGCAAACTGGCAATGCTGTCCTTCGCTGAATCTCCTTGCAAGGAGGCAGGATACTACGCTAGACCCAAGGATATGCCTAAACAATAGATAGAGCTTGATCTGCTCTTCAGAGGGACTGTGGTGTTCATGCTATTTATGTAAATTTGAGTCACTGTTAAAAACCTTTGCGTCTCTGACCATTTGCCTGCATGCAACACAGCCTTCCCTCTAATGTCTGTTCACCTGCCTGAACTCCAAAAGCTCCTCAAGGTGGGAACTGTTTTTCTTCAAAGGCTGGTGTGACATGCGTTTTTCCCATTAACAAACAACTGCAGTATTACACATGCCTTTATTCACCTGTTTCCTGTTATATGCTATAAGTTAAGCTGAAGGACAGGAAGGAGGAAGGACAGAGGTCACCTCTTTTCCTTACAAACTCCCTAAACCTAACATGGATCCTGCCTCCCAGTTAATATTTTTTAAGGCTGGACAACATGATTCTAAATAAGGCATTTGCCTTAAAGGCTTGTAAGTTTCTAGTGAAGTTTCCAGGGCAAGTGTAAACTGAGGGTTGCATTCCCTTTGCTACAATGCTTCCCTTTTTATTTTGAGAACTGCACTAGATAGCTGTGCACCTTCATAAGTCTGGCTCTGTGCAGCCCTATGTTCCTCCACCTCTCACCTCTTTAATGACAACAAAAAAGATGCTCATTTTGGTCTCAAAGTAACAATGTCAAAAAGAAAATGAATCTATCTCACTGTTTCTTTCCTGGTATTATTTCACTGCAGTCTATGAGATAACACCAGCAGTTTTCTGTCCTGGAAGATAGTTTACCCCAAACTCCTGGATGAATAAGGCATGGAGATGTCCTTCCTAGTGCTTGAGAACAATAAGGTCCGTGACAAAGGAGGGTGGGCTATTCCCATCTGTGAGAGGAGTTGCATGGGGAATTGAGAGGATAGCCTTGAGGGAGAAGAGCCCCTCCATTCATTCATACCAGGAATTTCTAAAACAGACCAACTACTGGGGTGTCCACAGTCAGTTTGCAGTGCTGAATTATATACACAGAAATCTCTTGCATCTCCTTTGCCTAAATTCATCTGTTTTGCAGTGACATTCTAGCCCACCTCCTTTCTCCAGGAGATGATGAATGACCATTCAATCCATGTCTCTTCAACAACTCAAAATTCTTCTTTTCATTATTGTATGTCAAACTGTGGCTGTGAGCTTTTGGTGATGCTGCTACAGCAGTGTTGTACATAAGGGCAGTCCCCCAAAAAGGAATGCAGCCATGGATAATAATGCCTGACCTTAAGGAAATGTTTCTTCATTTTCTCCTGCATTTCATCTGCATGAAAGAATGATCAAGAGAAGCTTTCCCTGGAATACAACCTGGAGGAATGTCACTCAGGGTTTGATCAATTTGTCTCAGTATATACCCTTTCCAAGGACTTCCACATTCTCCAGTCCTCAGCCGGAGTTCTCTTTAGCTAAGCTCTTTGTTGGACTTAACCCGGAGGTTATTTTCCTCAATTTCAGACATGGAAGCAGTTGCTGCTGCCTACTATGAGTTCCACACGATTGTGAAACTTTTCAATCAATGGCATTTAAGTAGCTTACAGTTGGTGTTACTTAGCAGTGATTCATATCCAGTGAGTCACAATGAAATGTCTCATGCTGTAAGCAGCTGCCCATTGAAGGGAGATCTTGCCTGTGCCCTCCACCTAAGAACCAGAGAAGAGGCTGTGAACTTTTCAAAGGATTTTTAATCAGCTGTTACATTTTTTCCCCCATTGGTTAGAAGCAGTACACATGCAACTTCAGTATTGCTTGGGGCAGCTGAGTCTTTTCACATTCCATACAGAGATGGCAGAAAAAGAAACTGATGTTTTGGTCCAAGAGATGTATTTTACAGGGAATACACTTTCCCCTGATTGGCTCCTCTGTGTCCTACCTCTGGAGGAGTACAATATTCACAACAGAAACAGAAACAGTTTGGGCACCATAAGATCATGCCATTTGGTAGATTAACTGGGTGTTGTACCTCTCTGCCTGTCCATGGATGAACATGGATGAAAAGAATCTCTTCCTTGAAAATAATGCGTTTTCTCAGTACCCAGCTCATACTGCAGAGGAATCATCCTTGGGAATTACAAACTAACTCCAACTTCTGCACCTTCCACTTCATGACTTAACCATTAGAAGTACACAGAAATACATAGGTGTGGTAAACAAAAAACCCAAACCACCCTTTCTAAAAGAATGCACTTCAGTGCACAGCCATTTCCCTTGTGAAGAGGAGAAAGAGCAAACAACAGATGTTAGTCACGTTGCTTAGTACTCTGGAGGGCATTCAAATGTGCTGTGACTAGCATGCTATAAGGACTTATATGGAATAGTTTCGGTTACACACGAGGAACTGCTAATTTCTTCTGAGCACTCAAGGCAAGAAATTTAATGACAGTTTAATGTCATGTTGATAAATGTCCACTTACAAAGAAGAAATAAGGATCCAATGGTTTTGGAAATAAATTGTGGAAAAGGGACAGTCACTCTGGAATTAAGACTACAGTAAAAGTTTCCATTTTCAATCTAAGTTTTCTTTTCTTCAGCACAGAAAAGCCTTCTTATATACAAATAGCAGTGCCTTAATGTCAAGTAGATTTTTTCTAGACCTAAAATGTATTTTTCAGAACAATTTTGAAGCAGATCAAAAAATACAGCTGTGTGACACTACCTCAAACACTGTAATCTGCAAACATTCTGGAGGACGCTTTTTTTGTTTTCATAAAATTAAGTTCAATCATCTGAGAGTCTTGAGGTGAAGTGACATTTTTCCTTAGCTCATGATCTTCCCCAGTTTCATGCCATCTACATATGCCAACTCCAGGCTCACAGAGCTTGTCCTGGGTATAGCCTCATTCATCTCCAGAAAACTGCCTTTCAAAGGAGAAAGACCTCTCCATAGTAGAAACAAAAGAACAGGAAACACTTTTTCTCTTTTCTGAGAAACAGACAAGACAGATGCTCTTTCTTATGTGTACTGGGGAGGATTTCTTGCTACCACACAGCAACTTTGTTTGCATGAGATGAGGTGGCCAAGCCACCAAAGGAAAATTGTGGCCCTGAGATTACTCAGGAACACCGGGTACGGCCTCTCTTGCAAAACTTCTGTCACCTGTAAGAAGACTGCTTTCCAGCTCATTTCAACCTACCTGAGAGGAATTAAGGATCTTCCCTTGCATAACTTCCTTAATGCTGACATGAAGTTGAAAGCATATACTTATAGTCTGAAAACATATTACAGGTCACAAGCTTTTCGTAAGAAAGAGAGAACAACAAAATGCAATATCCAAATGACAGAGGCAGGAAATACACAGTGAAGGCTGTACCCCAAGGCATCCTAATCCTGTTCTACAACAGAATTCAAAGACATGTCAGCTTCTCCATCTCCTCGGACAATGTGCTGACAAATGACTATAGAGATGAGAAGGCTTCAAACACCATCTTCATCTTCCATACATTTCCTGTTCCCCAGAGATACATTAGGGCAGGGCACATATACATTGTTTTTCAGCCTGATACATTTTTGGTCAATAATTTGTAAACAGATCAATCTCAGATTCTCAATAACAGATTTTTCCAGTTGCTGGAGATAAGTAGGGATTTCAAAACCATCTCACTGCTGTAGTGGGACCTCAATGCCTAAGTCTACATTAAAACTCTTATAAAACCAATGAAGATTTAATCTGAATCTTGAGCCATCTTTAGTCTCACTATAACCTTGAAAAACAGTCTGCCCTATGAATGACAGGGGTGCTTACCTGCCTTCAGTCTTGAAATATATGAGTTAACTGATCCTTTTTGAGAAACTCAGATAGAAAGGAAACTCATCTCACGCTCGGAATTTATATGCCAAATACTTGCCCACTGTTATTCCCAGACTTTTGACGCCCGAGCTGTGCTGTGTAGAATCACACAACCCAATCATCATACATTATTTTTTTAAAAATAGATAGATGGAAGTTTTTATGGTGCTCTCTTCACAGCCATAGAAACAGTCATTTGGGAATACACCACCATTCATCAGGAAATTAGAGCACTTGCCTAAAAAAGAGAAAAGCCTGTAGTGACATAAAAACACTTTCTGGCATCTACTGCACATAGACAATCTATTAAGCCAAAATAGCAGTATGCTCTGTTGCACATTTTCAATAATTGTCAGGCAAGAGACAAGAAGAAGAAAGAAAGTTTTTTTTTATAGGGTAGAAACAGACACTTGGATAGTATGAAAACAAGGATTGTAAATGTTTCAAAAATCAAACACAGTTCAAATTATGTGTTTGCGAAATGTACCATGACTCTTAATTCTCAGTGCTTGGTTTTGGTTTGTTTGGTTTTATTCACCTCCCACATTCCTGAGTGACAATGTCTTCTGAAAGCATAAAAAGGGTGTGTGCAACTGTTGCCTTACTGTTCTGGTTATACTGTACTTACAATGATACAGGCAGGGCAACCCCAAAAAGCAGAGTGATCAGTGTCCAGCAGAGATAATTAAGGGTGAGACAGCTGTATCCATTGCGTGGAAGAGGCAGAGAGACAGCTTCTTGCATTAGAGGAGCTCTGGGGGCAGTGTGAAAGGCCAGACACAAACTATTGAAGTATTAGATAGGCACTGGTGCTGCTGCATAACTGGTCACAGTAAGCCACCAATGCAGCATGAAAAAAGAAGGCTATGGGTTGTCCAGGGCTGCTTTTTAACTCTACTTGCTTTTGTCTTTGCATAGTCTGAGCTGTAAGGTTTTCCTGCACAGAAAGGCAGAGTCTGGAGTGGCTTAAATATGAGATTTATGCATTTAAATGCATAGAAGTTCAGACCTGCCTCTTCAAGATATGCATACCATATATGCATGCAGATACATCCACACTTAGATCTCAGTCTGTGATTCTAACCCAAAACTTGGTTGCAGGATTTAAACCCAAGCATACAAAACAGAGAAACCAGGCAAGAGACAGATAAGCAGATCTTTTCCACGTTATTGCCAATGACTACACGGTGCTCTGAAGGCATGGTGTGGCAATACCACAACAGCAAGGTCAGTGGGGGCCAAAAGGAGTGCACAAGCCCTCTTCTAGAAGCACCTACACATCTTTGTTCTCTTCCTCCTGTCTCTCTGGTTCTGCTTGCCTGGCATCTATCATAGACTGCACCTGGACAAAAGGAAAAGGAAAAGCGTCATTTGGGAGCTTATTTGCTTTCACACTGATGCCCAGAACTGACCTTGCCATGCCTCTGGAGGTTTTGTGCTTAGTACACCATGAAGCCAGCAACAAACCTCAAAGATGGTGCCTCTCCACAGTGATGAGAAGGCAATGAAGGAAGACACTCACTCTTTTCCTCTGTCTGCTTTCTTTCTTCTAACCTCCCCCTTCTCCCAAGAAGCAACCACACTTCTAATTCACCCCCAAACCAATGTCACTTCACCAACTTTGAATTACCTTTGCTTTAATACCCTGAAGGATCAGCAAAGACAGCTCACTTGAACGGGGGATATGGGCAGAAAATGTGCTCCCTCACAGTTTGGGATAGAGGAAGCTAGAAATGGTCACAGGTATCTCTGTCATTAAGCTTCCCTCACCTCTCAGGCAATTCCAGGGCACATTCACTCCATTCTTCCCCCTCCTTCCCATACCTTTCCTCCCTCTCAGAGCACACACGGTCCCTTGCAGCCCAGGCACTCTGCTGCTGCCTGCGCTTTTTGTCCTCCCAAGACATCAGACACACAGTCAGAGAAACAGTTCTGGGCTGACCATGATTCTGGTGTGCTCAGCAAAGCTGACCCTGTCCCCACAGAGCCCCAGCAAGGCACCCTACCTCCTGCAATATGAACTGCAAGGGGTCACCAGGCTTATGGATCAGCAGTTTTTCTGTGATAGCCTGAGAAAGAGACAGACAGAAGGAAAGAATTATTTATCTTTGACTAGATGGGTGCCTGCACTTCCTGTTCCAATGACATCTGCATTTTAAAAAGCAAGAATCTTTTCAGACCAAAGATGGTCAAGGGTCCCTTTCTACTGCTTTTTCTTAAGTCTATACTTAAGAAAGCACAGGACAAGGAGGGGTCTGGGGAAGGGATAATTTGGTTCAAGCTAACTTTAGGCCAAGCTTCTCACATAAGCCTCTGGAAGGAGATGAGAAGTATGTATTTCACCTGAAATATCTGTAGAATTTTATGTTCCTCCACATAATCCATGGCATTTTGATAGGGGTCTGCAAAAGCCTCTGGATTCTCCAATGATTCAAATGTAATCTCTGCTGCTGACAACACAGTCTCAACGGTGTTACTGCCATCCTGTGTGGATTCAGGGGTGTACATCTTGACTTTGAAACCTGGAAGTTTACCCACAGGTGATCTGATCTCAGGTGAGCATTCCCTGGATGCAGACTATACAATGAGCAGGAAATGGTGCTCAGAACGTGGTGGCTTCTTGACAGCCAACTGGTCTGCAGACACTGGCAATTCCACTACAGCTGTCTGGGTTGCAGATGTTGGTGCTTCCACACAAGGTGAGTCATCCAGTGATGGTGAGGATTCAACTATAGGTGTCCTAAGGTCCTAAGTTGGTCCAGAAGCTGGTGGTATGCAGATTCCTCCACTTCAGATTCTGAATGATCATTGAACCCTTGCTACATTTAGCAGATGAAGAACAAGAGTATTTTAAGCATCTCTCTCCACAGACTAGACACAGCACATTACTCCATCCTCTGCAAATATGCTACAAACACACTTAAAGCATGCACTAATAGGGTTTATTCCTATTAATGACTGGCCCTGCATGATCCCAGGAATGCTACTTAAGCTCCAGCCCAGGCCTTCAGAACTGGTCTGAACTATGCAGCAGTTGTATCTGTGCCTGATCCTCACTTACTGACTAGTTTTCCTAGGGTGACTCTGAGTGTATATTCTAGGTAGCTTTGTCTTTATGGAAGTACTTTGGATGGATCTTGGAGCTGACTCATGACCTTTCCTTGCCTGCGACTGTTGCTGAGCCCTCTTAGGTGCACACTGCCTGCACTGTGTTTGCCCTCAGCTCCTCGTTCCCTGCTTGGTGCAGCTCCAGGCTTGCTCCCTGACAGCAGCAGCTGAAATTTCTGCAGGCTTTGCCCACCTACCCCCTGAGCAGCTGGCCGTGGGCTGTGTTGTATCCATGCCCCACACTCCCATCCCTAGGCCTGTGACTGACTGCGGCCAGTCTTGCCCTGTTTCTTCCTCCCATCCCGTGTCCCGGTTGTCGCAATGTTGCCTGAAGGGGGATGCTGGGGGAGGACCGAGAGGGAGCAGGACCTGCGCTCACTCCCCTGGAACTGGGAAGGAAAGTGTTGTTCCTGGGGACAACGGGTTATTGACAACGGGGCTCGCTGGGGCAGAAGGGAGGCGGTGGGCGGCCGGGCCGGGCCGGGCCGGGCGGTGCAGCCAGGGAAGCGGGGGGAGAGGTTCCTCACCGCCCTCACCTGCCCCCGACTCGGCAAGGAAGGGCAGGGGGAGACACGGGGCGATGCAGCCAGGGAAGCGGTGGGAGCGGCTGGCGGCCGGGACTCTCCCTCAC